GGGCTAACAGTGTCATGACTGAATGAGGCTCTTCAGTGAATCATTCTGTAACCTTTGATATGATGGTGTCAGTCTGAGGTGACGGTTTGGCCTTGAGCACGAGTGCTTTCATTGAAAACTACACCTTTTGTGATTAACATGAAATGATCACTCTCATGAGCTCCCCATTGACAATTGGTGTCATCGAAAGGGAAACAACCTGATTTTAAACCATACTTAGAATACAGCTGGACAAAAGGATCCTGGAATTACTGAGATTTGTTTTTTATAAATATATATATATATATATATATATATTACATGAATGAAAGTGACCTGTACGTCCATCTGACTCAACATTTTTGAACTTATATCTGCAGGGACTTTGCAGCCACATGCACAAAATAACTTTTTGTCATCCTACGCTCTCATTTCAAAATCACCAATAAGAGCCAGGAGGAGTTCACACTTCTACTCTCACTCGGTCCAACTCAAATCTTCAGCGAGTGAGTGGCTTCAGGAGCTTTTACAAACAGAATGGCTCAGAAACAACCACCTACCTAAGGTGGTTAAAACTAATATGGCAAAGGTTACTGTGACGTTAGCACTCAGTAGGGAAGCTCTTGTATGCTGAAGGCTAACTTTACCTTGTTGGATGCAGATATGCTCTCTTTCTCCATAGCAGGGCTTCTGCGCATTCTAACCTTTGCCTCCATCTCAGGAGTGATGGGATCTCCATGACGACCAAAACCTGAACAGCAAGAGCTTTATTGGAAGCGACACATTAATAAACTGTACCCTCTGGAGGGACTGTTATCACACCTCAGTTAATTTTTTTCATGCCATCCTTCATTCCCCGCTTCCTCCACATCTCAGTGTAATTAATATATTAGAATAGAGAGCGGAAAGATTCCTTAGCTGCTCTACAGGTCACTGTGCTGGAATGTCGCATAGGCGTTTGATAACAGTCTGTCAGATACACTAATGAGGATGATAGATGTTTACTTACCAAGGAAACCATAGGTTTCTATGGTGTTCTGTCATGATATACAGTAAAGATGTAAAAACAAGATATCTGAGTGAATGATTGGTGAGATATTTAAGGCTATTGTTGGATTGGTGTGATATTTAAAATTATCTGATGAACATTTCACAGCATTACAATGAGATGGAGAAATTTATACCGCATGCTCCTTTTAAAGATGTCATCCCAGTGAGGTAGTCACATTAAAACCTTAATTTAAATGCTGGCTTCTGCACTGGTTATCAGAGAAGTAATTGAGTGTTTATCATTCCAGCAGATATTCAAAGAATCTCCAATATGACATGTGCTGTGATCTCTCAATCTGTCATGTCAATGCTATCCAGAACTTTTTCCTCAACATGCTTTATATCTTATGATGCTTTTACTATCAGGTTTGAGATAAAACATTAAAGAACATCAGTGTCATTTCTCCTGTGTAGGTTTTTATTATGCCCTGTGCATACAATGATTGATTTATAGAAAAAACTAACTCCAGTATGTTTATCCAGCCACACAAAACTGATTTATACACAATTCAAGATTCTTGCAATCTTTTTGAGAAAACACAAAAAAGTATATCACAGCTTTTTTTAAATTTAGACTCACAATGTGTGAAAAGATGAGGCTCATGTGCAGGATAATGAGGGGGCATGTCTGCACACAGGTGGAGGTCAGGTCACGAGTAAAGACGGTTGGAGACAATGAGAACAAATGGTGAGCAGGACAACAGATCTGGAATGATAGTGAATGTTAATGGAGGTATTAACAGACATAAAAATATATGAATACACTTGGTAGCAGTGGCATGTGGGATGCATTAACACTGTTGCACTATGATTGATGAGTTGACAGTTTTTACCATGAGCTTTAATTAACAATGTGTTTATGATGATTTAAATTTCTCATTGTAGTACTAACAGCCAGTAATTAAACTCTGGTTAATTGTGAAACCAGTAACCTTTTCATCACTACTAGCCGTTGTCCAATTACTGCAGGTAATTTTGACAGTTTCAAGAGAAAGTTGAAACCAAAGGCCAAGCCAGCATGTTCACAGGCATGTTTAGAGAACTGCACTAGCTTGTTAAAAAGTTGAACATACTAATTATATTGTAGGATAATTAATCTCATTAAACCACAATATTATTCTCACTGACTCATTGACACATTGCTCAGGACTGATCTGATGCAGTTAGAATATTTAATGAACTCTTGACTTTAACAGTTCAGAGAGACATTTAATCCTCATTTGCTTTGGCAGGATCTGGCCCAGAACAACCTGTCTCAGTAAAGTGGTGAAGTAGGAATTAAATGTGCAGTGGGATGGATAATCTTACTTTACAATATTATTAGGTCTTTTGTTAGATAAACTACTGGACACTGTATGTGCACAAAACATCAGCGTGGTGCATTTGTATTTCTCATTTCTGTCCGTGTCCGTCGCTCAGAGACCTGACACAAACCAGACCTGGCAGTGGTACTTTGACAGTTGAGGGTAAGATGACTAGCAACAGAACAATACTTGACAAACATGGCCGTGGCATAAAAGCAGGAAGCTGGCAAGGCAGGCTAATGCAAACATCAGTGATGTTTCCCCTCCTGTTCTTCAGATATGGCTGCATTGTTCTCACTGTTTCAACAGCAGCTCTGAGCACAGGGACTCCTGTGCTTCGTTTTCCTGAATTGTAAGAACATAATGGCAATAAAAACAGCCGCTTCCACATAATAGGACCTGCTATATAGAGGGTTGTTTTCTAGAGAATGGAGGATTGTATCCTTTCTCATCCTGCATCGTGCCAGCATTAGCTATGCATTCACGGAAGTAACACCATTGTCATTAATTACAATATAAAGATCAATGGCATAAACATTACAAAGTGATTCACATGACCACACTGGAAATGAAACAGTGGGCTATGAATATGCCATAGCACAATGGTTTAAGTAACCAAAATGAACGTGGTTATCAGTATTATTATGGCTTTTAT